GCTCACTGCAACCTCCGCCTCCTGGGTTCAAGCGATTCTCCTGCCTCAGCCTCCCGAGTAGCTGGGATTACAGGCATGTGCCACCAAGCCTGGCTAATTTTGTATTTTTAGTAGAGATGGGGTTTCTCCATGTTGGTCTTGAACTCCTGACCTCAGATGACCCGCCCTCCTCAGCCTCCCAAAGTGCTGGGATTATAGGCGTGAGCCACCGCGCCCGGCCCCTAGTTCTTAGTTCTTAAGTTTAATGCATCACATCCTTCATATGGCCTAGGTATTATTATCTTCATTTTTCTGAATAGGATATCCAAGTTTTAGCCAGGCGTGGTGGCACACACCTGTAATCCCAGCTCCTCGGAAGACTGAGGCAGGAGAATCACTTGAACCCGGGAGGTGGAGGTTGCAGTGAGCCGAGATTGTGCCTCTGTACTCCAGCCTGGGCGACATCTCAAAAAAAAAAAAAAAAAAAATCCATGTTTCTAGTATTTAAACAACTTGTTCCAGCCCACACAGCTAGGAGTGAGAGAGCCAGGGTTTGCACCCAGGCCTGTGTGATTCCAAGGCTTGTGCTTTTTCTGCACTCTACCACCTCCTCTCAGTACTGGAGGGTTTGGACTGAGAGAAAACGGGGCCAAGAGTGGATAGATATTCAGGGGGAGGTGAGAACCAAAACTAACGTAGCTCTTTTGCCACCCATCCCCTCCCACCCCAGGTTGTGGGAACAGTGCCCTGAGCTATGAGCTGTTCCTTGGAGGCTTCCCTGATGTGACCAGTGTGGACTACTCGTCAGTCGTGGTGGCTGCCATGCAGGCTCGCTATAACCATGTGCCGCAGCTGCGCTGGGAGACCATGGATGTGCGGAAGCTGGACTTCCCCAGTGCTTCTTTTGATGTGGTGCTCGAGAAGGGCACGCTGGATGCCCTGCTATCTGGGGAACAAGATCCCTGGACCGTGTCCTCTGAAGGTGTCCATACTGTGGACCAGGTGTTGAGTGAGGTGAGGGAGCAACGAGACAGGAAGGCAGATCAATAGGTGGGGCTGTGGGGTTGAGGTTGCATGGGACTGGAAGAAATCAGAAGCCAGAAGCATGTTTTGGAACAAGTAGTGGGTTGCCCTCAGGAGTGTGGCTCTCTGAAGGAAGGGAAGGGTTAAGCGGGGTCGAGATTATAGAGGTGACTGGAATAGCCAGGCTCACAAAGGCTGATGTGTGGCTACCAGGTTGCCATAGGGATGCGGTAGCCAGGTTCCTGATGGGTGACAGAGACTGCCAAGGTGAGCAGTTATAGGAAAGTGGTGCCCCTGTACCTGATATCACTCCTATACCCCTCCCTGAATAGAATATAGCCCTAATCCCAAGGAATGACGGGGCAGAGAAAGTGGCTCACTCTTTGCCATGGAAAGCCTGAGCTACAGATGAGGGGTGGTTCCTGAGGTTTGACTGGGAGGGCATCTGGAGCAGTACTGACCTTTGAGAACCTGAAGATCCACTTCTCACCAATGGCTTCTGTGTCTGCCTTGCAGGTGAGCCGCGTGCTGGTCCCTGGAGGCCGGTTTATCTCAATGACTTCTGCTGCCCCCCACTTTCGGACCAGACACTATGCCCAAGCCTGTTATGGCTGGTCCCTGAGGCATGCTACCTATGGCAGCGGTTTCCACTTCCATCTCTACCTCATGCACAAGGGCGGGGAGCTCAGTGTGGCCCAACTGGCTCTGGGGGCCCAAATCCTCTCACCCCCCAGACCACCCACCTCACCCTGCTTCCTTCAGGATTCAGATAATGAGGACTTCCTTAGTGCCATTCAGCTCTGAGGCCAGAGCATGGTCCACCCTTCCTGCCATTCTGCCCTGGGCTCCTCAGGTAGTTGGAATTCCTGACTCAGGACTTGGGGTTGGGTCCAAGGTGCTTACATCCCAGGGGCCTCATGCCTAAGATAGAGGGTGGGAGCGAACCCACATGAACCAATACAGCCCATCTCCAACTAGATCCCAGATTTCTTGCTTCTTTCTTGGGTTCCTCAGTTCTCTCCTGGGTTCCCCAACGTCCTCTGCCACCACACCAAGCCAGCAGTGATGCATCCCCTGGGGCAAAGCTCAGCATAACCCCTCTGCACACCAGCCAGCCTGGAGACCTTTGTCCCTGGGGCCTGTTACTGATCCTCATCTAGCCTTGATTTTTCCACAGGAGACTGCAGATTTTGAACCTAGATTGCTTTATGTTTCTCACCCCAGCTCCATCCCGAACACTGGTGACCAGTCCCACCTGGGTTGTATCTGTACCCAAGGAGGCCACATCATAATGATGTTCCCAGGCCAGGCTGGCCTGCCTGTCTTACTTGACAACCATCCCTCACCAGCAACATGCACCTGAGATTCCCAAGTACCTGCCCCTCCTCCCATTTTGGCCTGGCTCCTGAGACCTAAGCAGCGGCCACACACACACAGGGAGGTCTGTGTTTATTCACACACTCCTGGTACAGTGAGGATGGAGGAGCATTTACAAAGGGCACCCCTGGGTTGAGAACATCTCCAGGGCCACAGATGTCATCCAGAGGTGCAGAGCAGTCCCCAGTTGGGTTCCCAGGGGCAAGACGCAGGGGTCCAAGGCAAAATCGGATCTGGGCCCTTGGAAGGTGATGATACCTTGGGGAGAAGGGGTCTGCCAGAGAGCCTTCTTGGGTCAGGCCTGGGCAGACTGGCCATGTGGTTGGTAACCGTGTTGGGGGGCTTGTCTCACCCCAGCCTCAACACCCATCCTATCTGCCAGGCGCAGAAGAGCGTGGCCGAGACTGAGGGGAGGGCAGGAACCATGAGCAGAGCCAGTAAACAAAGAGTCGGATATAAAAATACAAATGTGCTGAGGAAGTCCCTTAGAAAGAGGCTGAGGCTGGGGTCACGCCAGACAGGGGTGGGGGTGAGGAACGGCCCGGAGGACTGGGCTCAGGTGGGTAGAAAGCTCATGCAAGTACGCAGCCAAACATCCCTGGCCGCTCGCGGTCCGACACCGGCGGCCGCCCGGTCTGCAGACCAGACTGGCCGGAGGGGGGCGGGGC